GACGGACGGACGGACGGACGGACGGACGGACGGACGGACGGACGGACAGACAGTCAGCGCTTAATCGATTTCTCTTTTCATTCTGATCATTTATGTATACATTTGTCTATATCTATCTCGATTCGTTTTGCCTGTTACAAACAACCGTTATGTGAACAAAGTTATAATACCCTTGTGCACAAGTGCGCTCGGGTATAATAAAATGTTAATAAGCCACAATAACATTGACAAATACAAAAACAACCAAGTTCAAAAAAAAAAATCAGATTTAATAAAAAACTTAAGATTTTCCATTCACTTGGAAGTAAGTACTAAGTCGAAATTAACAGTGCAGAAAAGTTTAAGAAAATATTAATAAAAATTTTTTAGTAGTAATTTAAAGTTTGCTTAAAATAAGAAATACGAAGGGCTAAGAAAAAAATCGTCGTCCAAATTTAGCAAAGACCTCACAACAAACTAAGCCAGCCCAGCTTACTGAAAAAGCCACTGTATGAAAGCAGTATTGAAACATTAAAAAGTCGAATGCATCTGCCTTCATTTCTCATCGATGAGATGTTGAGGCCTCTGATCTGCAGATTACGCCCTGCCTTACTACCAAGAATTTAGGCGACAAAGATTTCGCCTTCCGAAGTGTTAATCTGGAGTCAATCCATTAGATATCCTGATTATTCTCACACTTCGAACGTACAACTGTCAGGTCAGGTCCAACGCTTCTATTCTGGAAGAGTTCGGATAGAGTAAATAAGTTCCAGTTATCAACTGACGGAAGTTGACTTTGACCGTGACTTCGAAATCAAATTTCTTGACAAAAGTGATTGGAAACTGAATATCAACCTAAGCGATGAAGTTGCCAATCTTCGAAGTTGGTCTTCGGAAATGAATCTGACGTCATCTCTCAGAAACTGTCTATGAGAGAGGCATATAGACTCCTCGATTACAGACGAATACGCAAGAAAGGGATGGGGATGGGAGATTGAGTTAGGGAAAGCGGTTCAAAGCATACAATCTGCCTTTTTTTATTCCTTTTCTCACGCGTAAACGAGATGGCTAGAAAGTCTGTAGTGATGAATATGGGATTGCAATCCCAATGCGAGTGACCCTCACTGCGGAGAAAGCAACTTTAAGTTTTGGAAGCGCATTTCTTCGAAAACCAAGACAGCTTAGAAAATAACTCTCAGCTGAAGGGTCTAAAAGGATTCCCTTAAGAGTTTCATTACTCGTTGCAGATTTCACTTTACTACTTAAATTTTAAAATTTTAGTTTTAACGCTTTTTTATTTTGGGCTTTAATATTTTCTTTTTACTTTTATTTTGTTTACGTTTATTTTTTATATTTTTTCTGGC